AAAAAAAAAAAAAAAAAAAAAAAGCGGGTGGAAACCCCACCAGCCAAGTCTGCAGAAAAAACTAAATGAAGTCTGCCTATCTCGGGGCCGGAGCCCCTCCCCTCGGGCCGCGCCGAGGAGTGTGACACAGGTGCCGCTTCCTCCCGGCTGCTGAGGGTCAACCACCGTCCCCCGGGCCGCGCCCCGCACTGGTCGGCGATGAGCAGCCCCCAGGTCACACCGCCGCCCCTGCCCCGCCAAGGTGAGTACTCGCCCGGGGACGGGTCCGCGAAGGCCGAGCCGGGGAGGGGGGGGAGGCAAGGAGCCCCGGGGTTCCGGCCGCGTCCGGCCTCCTGGGGAACTAGGGTCCCGCCCGGCCGCGTCCCCGGGCATCGCGGGGCCCCGGGCATCGCGGGGCCCCGGACATCACAGCGCCCCGGGCATCGCGGGGTTCCGGTCCGGAGCCCCGAGCCTGGTGCGCGGGTTCGCGCGCCCTGGGCCTGGAGAGGCCACCACTGCCCCCGCGGCCATCCGCTGGCTTTCTGTTTCTTTGTGTGCTGGTGGAGATGTGCCCCTGGCCAGACCTTTTCCTCTAAGAGAAAAAAGGGAAAGAGGCAGATCGGTAAGCAGCGCAGAGAGAAAGCACAAGTTGTTTGCCGGAGCTTCCCGGGCAGGACGGTGGAGGCGCGTCCGCAGAAACTCTGAGTTAACTCCGCCAACTTCCCGACTCTCTCCCGGGGCCGGGCGGGAACCAGCCACACGCCCACGCCCATGTTGCAGGGATCCGCTCGCCTTGACCGTTTGAGCGGTTGCAATTCTTCAGAGGCTGTTTTCTTTCTTTCTAAAACCAGCACATGCTTTCTTGCGGAAAGGAAATCGCCGTGAGATTCTCTGTGAATCTAAAAGGCAACGTTCCGAAACACTGCTGGGCCTCCCCCGCCACAAGGCTTTTGCAATAAAGAAGTAAAATTTTATTAAAAAAAAAAAAAAAAAAAGGAATGATGATCCCTCCTGTTCCCACCCTGGTTAGGTCTGATCGTATGAAACTGTCAGAGAGGAGACATTCTGAGTCTATAATGTAATCACGTTACGTAATTAATATGATCATGGTATGGGTTTATACGTCTTTAAAAAAAACAAGGTTGTGTGGCCTTAGGCGGCAAACTTGAGCCTGGGTGAGCGCGGCTGGGTCTGTATCTGCACGCTCTGCGCCTCTGTGTGTACATGGCCACGTGTGTACGGGTGGCTGAGGTGCTCAGCGCCATCTGGGTGGGCACAGAGCTCCTTGTGGAGTCAGGGCCTTGCTGCCTGCATCGGGACCTCTTGTTACAAGGAGGCAAGCCCACCTCTCTTAGCTACAGTTTCATCATCCACAAAGTGGGAATAACAGGATAGTGTGCCTCTTTGTGTTGTGAGAATTAAGTGCATGTCAGTGGCTCAGCACAGAGATGAACACATGTTAAGTGCTTGATAAATGTCGGGCATCCTTATTTTCGTTTTACATCATAGTGTGGATCCTTGAGCTTGTGTGAGTTTGTGTTTACGCGTGTGTATGTGTGTGTGAGGGTGAGTCAGACACTAGTGAGTGAGTGTGTGTATGTCGGGACCAGGGTTAAGGGGACAAGGCACTGTAATTATTCCAGTTCAGGCACCGAAGAAGTGCAGGCCTACATCCATTCCTGTCTGGAGAGGACAGGCTTGCTCAGGGAGCCTTGCCCTGCCCCCTCCTACCCTTACAGCAATTCTCCAGGATTCAAGTTTCAGATCTTGACCAATGACTGCAAATACTTCCCTTGCGGAACTGATGGGGATGCAGCCTTTACTTGCATACCATTCCAGATTACCCTTAGGATTTACTTTCTGGCAGGATCTCTGCCATGGGAGAACCACGGGGCCCTATTTCATGCTGCTGACTCAGGCAGGATGTGTCTATATCCTGTCTCAGTTTACATCACTGCCCCTCAGAACCAGACGTTAGAACAGAGAGGACCCTCTGCTCCCTCCCGGCCAGGCCTCCCCTAGCCTAGCCTTTGGGCTTATGGGTTCAGCCAACTCCCATAAGCCCAAAGGCCACAGTTATTGCGGAGGAGTACTGTGCAGAAATCCACTGCCTTGCCCTTGGAGGGAAGGGGTCAGGCTCAGCAAGGAGATGGCCAGGTCTGGCAGCTTTATATAGAATGTGCCACCTCTGGGAAAAGCAGGGAGGGTTTCATTCAGTGCCAGATGACATTCCATCACAGCCATTGCACAACCCCTTCAGATATCCGTGGCTTTGGGAGTCACATGGCCTCGGCACAGCCAGCAGCTGGACCTTCCAAGGGTGCCCAGAGTTGCGCAGTTATTTCTGGGGACTTGCAGTGCCCTCTGGGAAACAGGAGTGAGGGGTAAGTGGTATTCCGTGTTTGGTGGGAGCGCATCTGCCCATCCACTATGGGGAGAGAGAGAGAGGCCCTTCACTAGCACAGAGAGGCTGGCAAGTAAAGTCAGTTTGCCTCTTTGGGTGGCAGATATATAGTCCATCAAATGCCCTTCGGAGACCCCAACCAAAACACCTTTCAAAGAGTGAGCAAACACAACAGGCCCAGTAAGTACAAGGTACAAACCAAACAAAGTTAAACAATGCGTGAAGAGTTCATAATAGAAAAGAATAACTTTCTTCCCACCTCCAGGACAGTAACTTTATTCATTTATGAGACTCCTTCTAGAAGTATTATATGTAATACAATTAATTTTTTGCTGGCAAAATGAAACACATATTCGACTTCATCTTTTTTGTTCATAAGACCATATCCTACAGATTATACCTTATCACCATATATAGACTCAACCTTCTGGGGCTGCACAGCATGAATATTATAAATGAATTGGTTATTTTATTTAACCAATTCCTCCACAAATGGACATCTGGGTTGTGTACAGTCTTTGATTTCTTTTTTTAACCACAGTGTCATGACAACCCTTGTAAGTAGGGTTTTGCATGCATGTGTTTGTATACCTTTAGGATAAATTCCCCCAGGATTTAATTTCTGGGACCAAGAGTATGTACATTTACAATGTTAGTAGATACTGAAAAATTACCCTCCAAAAGGTCACATGAATTTCTAACACTTTCCAGTAGCCAATGAAAATCGTTATTTCCCCACATCCTCATTCACACTGTGTGGTTTTTATCTTGGCCAATCTGATGAGTAAACCATGTTGTCACCTTTGAGTGCACCTCTGTAATTACACGTGTTTTTGTACCTCTGTAAGATATTGTATTTGTTTTGCTGGGAAATACCTTGTATGGCCTTTGCCCACTTTCTACCAGGTCCCTAACCAGTGAGGAAACACGCCCCAGAAGTTAAATGATGTGTCCTTTCTCTCATGATGAGTAAGAGAGTGGACCAGAGCCCCACACTGGGCTGTGCTGTGGAGTCAGACCAGATGTGATCTCATCCCCAACACTTACTGGCTTTGGGGAGGTGCACAATACCTTGGAGCCTCAGTTTTCTCATCTGTAAGTTGGAAGGATAACAGTGACTTGGCAGGAGTCACGTGATGAACGAGAGACTAGGGACCTGGCACCGCGCCCAGTGGTAGTGTTATTTGTGACTGTTGTTAACAGAACTAATCAAAGCAAACCTAGCCTGCAGGTGCTAGTCATCTCCGGAGTCTCCCTAACAGAGGGCAGCTGGGTTTGCTTTGGATAATGTAAGAACAACATGAGTACCTCTATGCCAAGGCCTGTGGTCCAGCCTTGCATGGGTCACTCCTCTACAGCCTGGTCTCACAGGCATATTCTCCCCTGTTTTGCAGATGAAGCCCTGGAGGCTGGAGGGTGATGACCTTCCCCAGGGCTCCCAGGTCCCGAGGGCACAGCCAGGCTGTGTATACAGGCTGTGAGACCCCAGAGCCAACAGAGGCCAAACTAAGGGAGGCGTTAGGGAGCATATGGGCCTGCTGGCCCTGTGTGCCAGGCGGGGCCTTCTGCTGCCCACATACTGTGAGAACTGTGCCCAGGAAAGCATGGCTATGGCTTTGCACAGACACTCAGAGCCTGCTAACAACTCCACAGTTTTTCAGCCAGGCCTGTGGTCTAACCTTGGCCTGTGGCTGCCCGCCGTCACTCTCATCTCTGTGGTCGCGCCTGACCCACACTGGGCCACCTGCTGCCCTCCACCCTGCCTTTCACAGCTCGCTCAGGTTGACATCCCCTAGGGCCCCTCTCTGTGCCTGGATCACCCTGTCCCTCCAGCTTTACCCTTATGCCTGCCCGCTTCAGGCCCCTGGGCTCTCTGGGCACCGCCCCCTGCACACATACACCTACTGGTCAGTTAAGGCCTCCCTGGGCCCTCCTGATACTAGAAAACCACCCACCCTGGCCTTGGGGACACTTTGTAGCCCCGACAGATTTCTGAGTCTGTCACCTTCCAGGAATTCTGACTTCCAAGAAGCTCTGTGACCCCACCTGTCCCCCTGCCACTGGGGCCTGGCTCAGAGAGGTGCTCAGCCAGCAACTTGGACACGAACAGGTGGCTGCACAGACAACCCAAAGGCCAACACTTCCAGGCCCATGTCTGCTCCAAAGGCCAAAGGCCCCTTTTATTTATTTATTTTTTATTTTTATTTATTTACTTTTTATTTTTATTTATTTATTTTTTTTGCGGTACGCGAGCCTCTCACTGTTGCGGCCTCTCCCGCTGCGGAGCACAGGCTCCGGATGCGCAGGCTGAGCGGCCATGGCTCATGGGCCCAGCCGCTCTGCGGCATGTGGGATCTTCCCGGACCAGGGCATGAACCTGTGTCCCCGGCATCGGCAGGCGGACTCCCAACCACTGCACTACCAGGGAAGCCCAAAGGCCCCTTTTAAAAATCATCCGCTCAGTAGCTCCTATTCCAGAACTCGGAGGGCAATATAAAATAAATTGAAGTGGACAAATAGTCAAACCAAAACAGATTCTCAGAACATGCTGATGGGCCCCAGCCATCACCGCGTAGCTCTCCTTCCCGCTCAGCACTGATTGGGTATTTTATCTTCTCCCTCCTTCCCCCCTCCCCTCCCCTCCCCCTCCCGCACTCCCCCATCTTTGCTTAGGGCTTCCTTCAGATCATTATATAATCTGAACCTCTGCAGGAACACCACTTCCTGCCCTTAGTCATTATAAATTTTAATTTGGGTACATCCTTTCAGAACGAACGTTAGTGTGCAGCATCTTAGCCAATGGCAGATACTGTCAAGGGCCAGTTCTCTCTCACCCCAGCAAGAGCCTGAGCCCAAGATGCTAGGTTCCTTCACAGACCCAGCCTCACACAGCTGCCCCCAACCCTCCCTCCAGCCACTGGAGAGCCTGTGTTCTTGTTCCCTGCACTCACAGACAGCCACCCACCTGCCTCGCCTGGTGATTGGTGTCAGAGCATCATTGGCTGCCCACCTGCCTGACTCTGCAGCCCTGCCCTTCCTCCTGGCCCAACATCTTCTGCAGTTCTCATTCA